GTGGTATCTTCTTTGATTCTTTCAGAAATGAATTCTGTCTGAGTCTCTAGTAACTAAGAAGGCGGTTGTAAAATTACTAAATATAATTAAATTTAAGTCGAGTTTTATATACAGAACATCAAAGTAATGATATTCATTTGTGCATTTCAACTACTGTTTTTATGTTAATAATCTTTCGATTTTTATCCGAGATAAAGTAGTGTTCGAAATATAATAAACGACAAAAGAGCCTTTTCAAGTCATTTGTGCACAAAAAATGTTGAATTTTGACTGTTAACTACCATTTCTTCTCGTAATTATTAAAAAGAAATTAGATAAAACTTTTTGACCACCCTTTAGTGGAAATAGCGACAAATTGCGTGACAGATTTTTCAAAGGTTTCTATTTTCTTCGAGATAAAAGTTATAAAATAATGATAAATTTGGTAAACTTTTCAAGGTTACAAGCAGAAAGTTGCTCTATCTTCGAAGATATAATTTGTTATCTGTCGACAAAAACATTTTAGGATAGGCAAGGATAAAAAACTAAAATAGTGTAGAACATTTATTGTCTGTATGCTAAACTATACCTAGATCCCATCCAATTTGAAATGCTGTTTCGCTATCAATTGTATACTGTTCAGTTTGAATGTATTCATCTTTAACTGTAATTTGTTGTGGATGATGTTCAAATAATATCTGCGTAAAATCCAAATGATTTCTATCATGAGTATAAGCAGCATAAACATTGATATTGTCTAACTTCACATTGTCTAAAAACATTTCCACAGTATTCCATTCATTGATAATACGAAATCGATAGGCACCTTTCTAGAACATACAAAAAAAAAATAGAATTTTAATAAAAAATTTAGTAAAAATATACATGACGTATCGATTGTTCTCAACTTTGCTATCAAGAAATCACTGTTTAGTTAGAGAAAACTATAGGAGAATCCTAGTTGTGATAGACGAATAAACAGACTATCAAATCTAACTTCCCTACATTTATTTTTAATCAAAACAAATTATTATCTAGATTTCAAAACAGAAGACTTTTTTTTATTATAAAACAATAGAATATAAGAATTGTGTACTTAATAGTAACAAGAGTCGAGAAACGATACTGTTAGTACAGTATTACAAGCAATATCTCGATCGGCTATAGTCAGATCAGGATATTGGACAAAAGAATTATATGTTGATCCGGCTCTTTTTACAAAATATTTTTGAAAAATTTATTATTGCAAAAAATTCTAACGTTATTGCATAAAAATATTACTATATTATTAGAAAACAGATAAGAAACTCAATCGAAATCTCACATCATTCAGTCTAACCTTACGAAGTCACCTGATGAGTCTCTGTGCATAAAATAATTTCCTTTTTCGTTTATCAGTTTACGAAAGAGAGTAGTTTGCTGTAAATTACTCTCACCATTTGAGAAAATCCGTCTTGAATAACATAAGAAAATAAGAGTGAGAAGGATAAATAAAATATTTTTTATTGACTTTTTGAATAGATAAACCCAAAACGTTTTATATTTTTTTCCTGCTCTGTAATGCCAAAACGGTGTCATCATAGCAGGAACGTTTACAAGTGAAGAACTTTTATAGTCGTGTTATGGATGAACCTATTTTTACTCAAAAATGGACACATACTCAAGACAAAAACATATCATGCTGTGATGTACCATTGGTGTACGATGTGGCCAGCTAATGAAAGGAAATGCTGTAACGTTTTTTCTTCATTTTGTTGTGTCGATATATGGGAGAATTGCGATCAGATGAAACGTTTTTCGAAAAAAGTTCATATCAAACTAAAAAGATTGTTTACTATTGTTTTACTACAGGTACAATTCTAGTACGCATTTGTATGATAAAAAAATCTTTCGTTAAAACGAAGTAGATTAGATTTTTTTATTAGAAACAAACGTTAAAGCGTGATGAGACATTTAGATGAGTAGAAAAGTAGAAACAAAAACTCAGTATTCTCCATTTTTTTCCGAAATGAAAATCTTTTGAAGTTTTTTCTTCTAAACATAGATTTTGTACCTTCTGAGCTATCTTTTGGCTAATTTCAAGTTTGGTTTTGATGAAATCTTTAGGACAAAAAAATGCTCGAGAAGAGTAACGGGATACTTTTGCCTTTTGTCGTAACCACGCGTTTTCAGACCTGGTAAATCAAAACAAAATACGTTTTTAGGACGTAAATACTGTAGATTTGTAGCCCAACTCTACATCAGGACTATCCCCGAAATCGTGAAGATTAGAATTTCTTTTCTAAATACCTCAGCATGGGCAAGAGATAGTCATTTTACCAGCACAAGTAGAGGGAAGTTTTATGAGTAAAACAAAAAAAGTTTGTTAAATTCATAGGCGTAAAACAGACGCTATGAGCTGAACCATAAATTGTACTAAAATAAGGTACATATGGATCGCAATTTTCCCATATACCAAATCAAACCATACAAAGAGTCGTGAGATATCTTAAATTGAAGAGAAAACTCTTGTGAACATTTTAAGACATATTTACACTCTAGAAAATATCTCTTTTTGAAGGTTTTAATAGAACATTGAGTACTACTTTTCATAAATTCAGCTTCTTCAGAATCGGAAAATAGTACTCGATGTTCCATTAAGACTTTCAAAAAGAGATATTTTCTAGAGTGTAAATACGTCTTAAAATGTTCACAAGACTTTTCTCTTCAATTTAAGATATCTCACGACTCTCTGCGTCGTTCGGTTTGGTACATATTGACACAACAAAATGAAGAAAACATGTCACAAAATTCCCTTGCGGTAGTAAAGATAGCTGTCCACGCCCTATAGCATATTCCGTTCGAGATGTATCGCGATGAGAATATATAAAATAGTTCGAATGGGAGATTTGGTCTAGGCACGAAATATTTGATATTCTAAATGAGAGAGATATTTACAACAGGATACATGTCATGTTTGGATTATAGAACTGGACTGACTGTAAGTATACGAGATATAATTTTCATTTACATTTTCTATTTCAAAAGCTTACTTTTTCCAATCTAAATGTTGCTAAATCTCCAATATATTCAATAGTGCCTTGAATTTGAAAATTCCAAAATGGTAAATATTTTGCTTTAATCGTTGTTTCAACATCTTGTTGCCAGCCACCTGGTGCAAGCCTCTTGAGTAGAAATTAAAGAAAAATAGATATACATATGATATACATTGTAAGTTTAAACCTTACCACAATGAACTAATCCATTTCTGGAAATATAATTTTGCTTCGTCATTATTAAATTCAAAGTGAGAACCACGTCTTGTATTTTGTGTGGCGTATGTTTTTATGAGTAAATGATTAATAGACTTTTGACAAGAGAATAGAAATAAATTACGTAACATTATGTACATGAAATAGGAAACATCATCTATAGAAAAGAAACAAATAAATAAGTTCTAACATAAATGAGACGCTCGAAAAGATTCCTTTCAGCCAAGTAAACGGAACAGTAACTTAATGCTTCGTTGTTATTGAAAGTAGATACTCTTCAACTACTTCATGAGAATCCAAGTCAAACTGGTCATATAAACTCGGTTAGGTAGGTACTTGATAGGTACTTTCCTGCATTCTCCCGATTTTTGTGAGCAGAGTTTGTTGAAAAGACTACAGCAACAAGCACCAAAGCAGTGGTTTTAATGAGAATTTTTCCCTTCACTGTAAGCAAAGGGTCTAGAAAATTAGTTGTCTGTCTGTCTGATCGTAAAAAACATGAAAAACGGACGAAAAAGTAATCGATAGACTAATCAATCAGAATAGGCAAAAGTCAAAAGCTGTTAGACAGTACATATTAATGAAGTAACAGAAAAAGTAACACACAAAACATAAGATGTAATTAGCTTGTCCGGCTAACGATCAACTAGCATGATTGAAGTTGAGAACTTAAATTCTCGGACACAAAACAAGCGATCTTACTCATTTAAAGTTTTTATGTAGATTTTCGTATATTTTGGCTCGATTTATCTAATTTCTTTTTAACAATTACGAGAAGAAATGGTAGTTAACAGTCAAAATTCAACATTTTTTGTGCAAAACTGACTTGAAAAGGCTCTTTTGTCGTTTATTATATTTCAACCACTACTTTATCTCGGATAAAAATCGAAAGACTATTAACATAAAAACAGTAGTTGAAATACACAAATGAATATCATTACTTTGATGTTCTAACCGACATACGAAATAAAATTTTAGATCTAGAATTTCTTTTTTAAAAATTAATGTCTGTGCGTTACCTGCGTTTTTCACGTAATGCCTAAATATGCCGAGTGCACAGCAGTTGATTGACGAAAAATTTATTTAATAATCAGTTCAATGGAGAACACTACCTTACGGAAAAATATTTTAAAGAATAGATGTTGATGTAAAACTGATAGAATCAGCTAATATAAGAAGAAAGTGTACTATAATAAGTAGTCAGTCGTAAAGAATCTGTTGGAAAAACTTTTACCATTCCTAGGGTTTCCATAAAATGTTTCTATATTCTATCATATCGATTTCTGAGTTTATATTTGAAAACGCAAGCAGTGTCGTCGCACTGTTTTTTTTAGGTTCGATCATCATCATTTCCTCTCCTTTTTATTCTTTTCTAACAGTGTGTCCGTTTTAAAAAGGAAAATAAAAATCGATAGAGAACAATCTTGTCAAAAATTACATCAACACTTTGAGCTCAACGTTGCACAAACTCTTGAAGGTATGGGAGATTGACTCATTCTCCTTCTCTCGACAATAACATGTAACATGGGGTCCTTTTCGGTTACTAGAGGTATCAACAAGAGTGCTTGATTTTGGAGAAAAAAACTAAGAGAGAGAGGAGGGATCTGATATTGTGACGGGAAAAGTTGATAGAATCTTTCAGGAACCAATAGGATCTTGTAGGATTTTATCGTTCGACTTATTGACCTAGGTAAGCGTTTTTTGTAATCGACAGTTAGTGACCCAGAGACAAAGGTGTCTACTAATGATTATCCTTCGGAGAGGGATCAAGCGATTCGGAGATCAGTTACTTTTTTCTTGCCAAAATTTCTCGATAAATTTTATTGTTGTTGTTGACTTCTTTTCCCCTTGACTGTAGTCTAGGGTCTTACAAAATGTTTGTCTCTGTGTCTATCTGTACGCAAAATACGGAAAAATGGCTGCTGGATATTCCATGGATAAGCCAATCATAAGGGAAAAAACTAGAAAATTATTTTTAACTCTGCAAGAGAAAATATTCAAAGAGATGACCTCTGGAATATCTGTCTACTGCTGAACAGAGAAGAAAAAGCTAAGTAAACTTTTTCTGTAGTTCTGGGAAAGATACCGCTAGAAATCAGTCTATTTTGATAGCACAAAAAAAAGTCGTCTACGGATAATAAACTCATATCATCGATAAAAAAAATTAAAGTTTGTGTAGAATTAAAGAAAAGTCCTTTTTCTTTGGAGAATCTCGGAAAAACTTTTTAGATTTACATTAGATTACGAACCCTACACATGAAATCAGAGAAAACTTCACAACATATTTTAGCTAGTCTGCTAGCGAACGCCGACCAAAGGGAGACCTGAGCGTTATCTTGCATACAAAAATCATGGAAGATCATTCGCCGATATAGTCAAGGGATATATATCAACGTGAAGAAAAAATAAAGTTCATCCTTTTTCAAAATCCTTTTTTGGTATTCAGCACAGTCGATAACTCCGAAGATCATATCACCGACAAAAAATTAAAGTTCATTTAGAGTTAAAGCAAAGTGCTTTTTCGTATTCAGCACACTTGATAACCTGGAAAATTTTCTATTCTTAGCGAGGGGTACCGCCAAAAAGTTAAGAAAA